AAAAAAAAAAAAAAAAAAAAAAAAAAAAAAAAAAAAAAAAGCAAACGGAGCTTCCTCGCCTCTGTAAGGTTTTAGCTGTGCATGTGTATGTGACAGAGAGCGAGCGAGCATGCACATGCAGTATACAAACAAATGTGAGGGGAAGAAAAGATAACATCTGTGCACATGAGGTCTCAGAGTCCTGCGTCACACATACTGCTAATCTGCAGTGAAATGCAGGCCTGATTAAGAGTTCAGCATGCAAGAAAAATACCATGTGCATTTAAGTAAGTCCCAATCTCCCCCTGCCCCCCAGCTGCCTTCTGTGAGGAACGATGACCAATGCAGGGGAAAGGAAGAAATATCGTGATTTCAGACTTTAGTAAGAACTGTAACCCTTAAATCGGCAGTCAAAAGCCTGAATTTTCAAATCAGTGTTCCTAATGGTAAGCTAGATAAGCCAAACCCACATTTAGGTGCCTAATCTTAAGTGCCTGGATTTTCAGGAGTGCTGAACACCCAGGTGTGCCAATGGGAGGGGCAGGTGCTCATCACCTGTGCAAAATCAGGCCACTTTTTAGGAACGTAATGGTAGATACCCAGAGGTAAAAATATAGGCCTTAGACTCTAAGTTGTTTTTTTAAGTCTCAAGACATTTATTTGCTATTACTGCCCTCCCAGTTCGCCTCTGGGTGATGGCAGCTGTTTTCTCCATCACCCGATGGGACATGTGTCTGTTCTGAACAACAGGAAGTTTGTGCCCATTGTAGATGATAGATTCTCCCCTATGTCTTCCAAACAATACAGGGAGGCTATGTCTGATGCAGTCCAGTGTGAAACTCCTGTGTGCCTTAGGACAGCAGGATGAGTTTGTGTCTTGCCTCTTTTAGAGAAGGCCACTTCTCTTTTTTGTGGGCTTTCCCCTCACTGAAAGAGCCTATGAAGGAGATTCCCCTAGAGTAGAATGACTCACCCACAAGATTATATCCAAATAGATTCTGACCGTCCCTGTTCAGCTGCATGAGGAGGGAGAGGCCAATGAGTTCCCCTCCCTTATCCCCTGCATACAGGCTGGCCATCATCTTCCTGGGAGAATAAACCTGTTCCTACTAAGTGCCATCCCCTCCCCCACCTCACTCATGCATACTGCACTGTTCTGACGTGTGCACCCTGTCGTGAAATATACAATCACAGAACTTTTTAAAGAGCAGTCATCGATGGTAGTTAGAGTTATTTTCTTTAGACACAAACAGGCTACATCACAGTTTGAGTTCCAGCTTCGTCTCCATGTTTACCAGGCTCCACAACATTTGTGGAATCCTATAATGTGCATAGAGACATCTAGTGGCTAAATACTATACTGCAAACAAACAGATTATTACACTACCCACGAGTCAGCCAGCATTCCTTCTAAGAACACCAGCTATATGATGGTCCCAACCTGTGCCCCAGTAACTAGTCTGTGGGTATCCAGGGCAGAATTTTGCCCTGAGAGAGAAGCAGAATATGACAGGATACTCCTTTGATTCTGGACTGTGGCACCTAGACACTACAGTGATGCATGCACTAGAAATACAGAGATAATCTCCTTATTCCTCTCAACAACACTGTGTGGTGGATACTGACTCTGTTGCTGAGGGAGAGTGGTGAAGTGACTTTCCCAAGGCTATGGAGGAAGGCAGGAGAGTCACAGCTATCTATCTAAGATATTTACATGCCCCCCCGTATCTGAACGCCACACTATCTTTAATGTGTTTGACCTCACATCACTCCTGTGAGGTAGGAAAGTGCTATCCATCCCCATTTTACAGATGGGGAACTGAGGCACAGAGAAGTTAAATGACTCACCCAAGGTCACACAGGAAGACAGTGGCAGAACAGGGAATTGAACCCAGGTTGCTAAAGTCCTAGTCTAGTGCCCTAACCACAGGACCATCCTGCCCCTGAAATGGAACTCAGCAGTCCTTGGCTCCCAGTCCCATAATCAGTGCTGCAGATCACGATACTCTCTAAAATTTACTTTGGGTTTATCTCGCATGCGAGAGTCCAGTTTCGTGGCTACAGACTCCACCTAACTGTTTTTGCTAGCGGACAGTGGGATTTCAGCTCTCTTGGTCCAGCGTGTACTGTGACTCAAACAGTGGACTCCTGCGGGTCTGAGCGCTCAAAGTAAGTGCATCTGTGCTGAATGCTTGTGTCTTCGGGCACCTTTTCACTCAACTGCGAACGTCGTCACAAGCTACAAATGCAGGCGAGGCTTCTGTTTGCCACGTTCATTAAGCAGACAGACAGTTCCAAGGGTAAATGATGAACGCGGCGATGTCTTAGGAACTACGCACACAGCCAGGAGTAACACACCGAGAGGGCTATTTATAATCCCCAGTTCCAAAGCACTAAAATAGCACTGCTTTTATTTTTAAATTTTAGACAGACTTGTGTCTGCAGATTTAAGCAACTCAGCTGGTGGGTTTAACCTGGTGCAGGTTTTTCATTCCACTGGGGTGGTCACTGGTGTGGGCTGGGAAGTTCATAGAAAGGGCTCAGCTCACAGGGTCTTTTATCCAGCGTGTTCCTGTGACCACAGTTACACTTCTTAGTCAAGCTCCTGGGATGAAGTGAGGGATGGGGTCGGAGGACATATTGATTCCTCTCTTCTCTGCAATAAGCAGAGAGGAGATCCCCCTTCTTCCCCACAGCTCCTCCCAGACTTCTGTGGTCAGTGCTCCCAAATCGGTTTCCATCTACTTTAACCAATGGTCAAGCTATTCCAAGGAATGCTCGTTGCCATGCAATAGAATATAAGGGACAAACTCTGCCCACGGATGCACACACCCTGAAATGCAGTGGAAGATAGGGGTGGGGCGGTGTGAGTGAGAGAGAGAGACGTGGCAGATTGCTGAATTCCTTAAAATTACTCTGTGTGAGCGCACGCGGGCGAGAGTGAGTGAGAGACTAAGAACGCCCATCCTGGATCAGACCAAAGGTCCATCTAGCCCAGTATCCGACAGTGGCTAATGCCAGGTGCCCCAGAGGGAATGAGCAGAACAGGTAATCATCAAGTGATTCATTCCTTGTCGCCCATTCCCAGCTTCTGGCAAACAGAGGCTAGGGACACTAGAGAGAAGGGGGGAAAGAGAGAGAGAGAGAGATGGCACAGGCATCAGAAGGAGTTAATGGGCCCTACAATAAAGTGATCCTTTTTGTTTGTATATCTTTAAGCAATGCACAGAAGTAGTCATTCTACAGAAGGAGTCAAACTAGTTTAGAACACCTGAAGTAAGAGCTTTTCCCAGCCTCAGAGGGCTAACTCTTTGCACAACTCTGTCACTGTCTGCATTTAATTCGGCTGCTTCCGTCAGTTATACCTCTTGTAAAGCAATTATGAAATATTCAGAGCAGGAGTGAGTCTTCATGTTCAGCCAACGCCGAGGAAGACTGGTTGTGCTGCAGTGTCACATCCTAAATCGTTAGGCATTTTGTTTTAATTGCAGGGTTATTTTTAAACAAGGAACTAGTTATTAACTCAGGACAAAACAGAACCTACCACTCCCCATCATTAAAAGAGCTATGATGGGATTCATGGCTGGCCAAATTCAGGCTCTCTTCATTCTGGTTGTGCAGACTGGCATGCAAAGGCAGCATTGATGTGGTGCCCTATGCTAGCTTCACACACCCAAGAGCTGGAGGAATCTGCACAAGATGCAGGAAGTCAGGTCTGGGAGTATCTCTGCTAGATTGTCCTGAGTCCAAACACTGCCCTGGATTCCTGCCTCCTCCCACAGAGGATATGGGAGAGCAAGAACTCAGTGGTTTTTGGAGATACCATTGTGGGGGTGCAGTGATTGCTCTCTCTGTCACCAGCCTCCTTTCTCACAAAGAGGTGACAAGCCCTGGATCTGGCCTGCAGTATGTAACCCGCTCTCATTAAAATTCAGGTTATATTTTCATTCACAAGATTTTTTATCTGTATTGAAAAAGGTTTCTGATTTCACCAGCACTAATCAGGACACCACAACAGATTTCCCCTCTGAGAGACGAGGCTCAACGTCTTTGTAGGGCTCGTGTGGAGCAGGTTTTCATTCCCCTCTCTCCCTGCCAGAGCCATTACAAAGCTGCATGTTGAACAGATTAAAAAAATAAATAAATAAATCACGGATCCACCTTACTTCTTAATAAACGTTCCCACAGACACAAATCCTCCTGCCCATCACAGTACTTGCTCCCAGACCCGCCCAACCCCACGACGGCCTCCCTTGCCCCACTACACTCTTGTGGAGTAAGAGAAATGTGTCAAAACACAGAACTGGTGCCCACTTCAAGCTCTGGTTTATACTAATGCAGACATCATAAAAATAAACTCCCAGCAAGTATTTCCTATATAAACAGATTAGCATACCTTAACCTCTTGATTGCTCGCTCATCACATGGCCATAGATTCACTGCATGCTGGTTCAATTCACCGGGGTGTTCTCACTCCCTTACGCTGTCACTAGGGCACTGAAGATCCAGTGACCTGAAGGAAGATATCTAGGAGACCCTAGGGAACAGTCACGAGCAAACCTGTGGATACCATAGTAATAAGTTGGGAGGCCCAATGTGCTACTGGGGGACAAAAGATCTGGGCTGAGAGGGGAAAAAGCACATCCACCAGAAAAATGAACCAGCCCTGGGTTATATCTTCCTTTCTCTCCTACCACTTCTACCCCAAGGACCATGTGAATCATTGGAATGGAGGAAAAAATATATACTAAATTCTATGAGCACAAGAGACATCCAGGAAAGTCGCCTCTGGCACTTGACACCAGCTGCAAAACTGGGTTAGCTTGACATTGCTGCTGGAAGTGAACGGACCCAAAAAAAGCAGACCGCCACTTGGATACCAGTCGAGCTAAAGCCGTCTGCAAGGCAGGATCCATCCACATGGGTGAATTGACAGATAACTGGAGTCCTACCAACAAAGCAGAGTGGCAGGTCCTTAAACAAGAAGCACCCAAGGAAGTAAGGAAACAAAAAAGTGGTTCCTCACCAAAGCAAGAGGTTTTGGCACCGTGGTGTGATGAGGCAAATGCCATTTCAGAGGCTTTGTCCGAGCAGATCACGATGGCTTGGTCCTACAAGAATTCTCTAATGGATCAGACAGTTTTTCTGATGATCCTCAGCTCAAGAATAGTGAGGTGATAAACACTTCTCAGGAAAAAGAAACCCAAGAACTTTTGGACTGTGTACCCCCCCCCAATCCTGGAGACACTGCAAACCATGCTGGTTCTGGAAGAGGAATCCCTCAGGGTCTCTCCAAGGTACTAATTCAGGGAGCACTTCACTGCACTGGAAATAATTTAGAGATTGTCTATACTACAGCATCCAGCATATGAGCTCTTGAGTAAAGAGCAGTCAGAGATACCACGATCCAGAGTAAAACTGGGCCGCTTCACAGGACGAAGTCATAGGACCCGGGGGATGGATTCTCTTTTGGATGCAGTACTGATAATTACGCTGCAGTTGACAAATGCTCTGTTGCATCTTCCAGAGTCTTTCCTCTGGCAGGTATCAAATTGTTATTTTTTCCAAATGGGCCAACTTCTGTGACATGAGCTCTTTTGGCTTGGTCACCTCTAACCCTGACTCAGAGGATACTGTTAGAAGCCATGGGGCTTCTAGATAGATTTACAGAAGTGAAGGTGCCTGATTCAAAAAGAAAGGGGGATTGCTACTCATCTCCTCTTTCTGAAGAAGCCACCATGACTGTCATAATTCTAAAGAAGAGTTGGCATCCAGCATCCAAGATCGTTATAGAAGAATATCATATTAAAGTGAAGTTTCCCCTAAGGTGAATCTCAGTCCCACGTGGGTGCAGTTTGTAACGGTAGACCCCAGGAAGTCAGAGAAAGCAATGGGATAGAGAGAATGTGAGGCAAGCGGTGCCTGTCATTTCTGCCTGGGAAAGATCACAATCCCATCATCTTCAAAGCAGCTTGGAGAATGTAAACGGTGCAAAAGTTAAACTAAATCAGGGATGTGTGAAATCCCCATTGCATCCTCCCACCCCAAACACACACAATCTGAGAATTAGGATTTAAGGCCAAGATTTTCAAAACTGACCAGTGATTTTAGGGGCCCAGCTGAGACCCTCTAACTGGGCCTATTTTCCAGAAGGCCGTTGTTCAGCACTTTCTGAAAGCGAAACCCCTTTAAAAAATCTCTGTCAACGGCACCCAAAAATCACTGGTCACTTGGCCGCAGCTTGTAACCGCTAAAGGACAGTGAGGAAAGACTGGCCTTCAGCCACTCGGCAACAACAAAACACCGCAACAACACCTCCTGCACCAAACACACACACCCCAAAAACAAACAAAAAAAACCCCCACCCAAACAAAAAAAACAGTGCAACTAAAATTACTGGGTTTTACTGAAGGGTTTGTTGTTTGTTTGTTGTTTAAAAGGCTTTACTTTCCTTCTAGGGTGACCAGACAGCAAATGTGAAAAATCGGGACAGGAGATGGGGGGTAATAGGAGCCTATATAAGAAAAAGACCCAAAAATCGGGACTGTCCCTATAAAATCAGGACATCTGGTCACCCTATTTCCTTCCCCTTTGTTGCTGCTCTTTAGGGAAGGGTATAAAAGCTGCTAAAAATTAGTCAGACAATTCAGATACTTCTTCCCGACTTGGCGAGGTTTCCGTTCTGCTAGAGTGATGGTGGGTGTGGGGGTCAGATAGGAGGAGGGGGAAAGGACACAGGGGAGGGGGGGGAAGGGAAAAATGAACAGCTGCAAACCAATTAAGCCTGACTCTCTGACTGCCTGCTTTGGACAGTGAGGCAATCTAATTCAGCCTGGTGCCTCTCTTCCTTCAGCCGTCTGGTGCCTGCCTGCCTGGGATTCAGGAAAGGGGCTGTCTGCCTGCCCACTTCGTCTCGCAAGCCAAAGGGGCCCTTCCCAGCCA